TTCAGTGCTTCGTCCCTCAATTCCTTCAGGTCTCTGCTCAAAGGTCATCTCATCAGAGACGCCATCCCTGACCACTTTCTATAAAATAGATCCCTATTATGATCAATTCCTCTAACCTGCTTTGCTTCCCTTCCTAGCACTTATCACCATCTAAGTCAGCGGTTCTCAACCTGTGGGTCGCGACCCCTTTGGGGGTCGAACGACCCTTTCACAGGGGTTGCCTAAGACCATCCTGCATATCAGATATTTACATTATGATTCATAACAGTAGCAACATTACAGTAATGAAGTAGCAACCAAAATAATTTTATGGTTGGGTCACATGAGGAACTGTATTTAAAGGGCCAGAAGGTTGAGAACCACTGATCTAAGTTATTATATACTTCTTGATTTATTTACTGTTTGTTTTCCTGAACTAGGAATGCAAGCAGCACCAGGGTAGGGACTTTGTTCTATTCAATAGTGAATCTCAATGTTAGGATCAAAGCCTGGTATATAGTACCACTTAAGACATATTGGTTGGCCCTAACTGGTTTGGCTCAGTGGATAGAGCGTCGGCCTGTGGACTGAAGGGTCCCAGGTTCGATTCTGGTCAAGGGCATGTACCTTGGTTGTAGGCACATCCCCAGTAGGGGGTGTGCAGGAGGCAGCTGATCGATGTTTCTCTCTCATCAATGTTTCTAACTCTCTGTCTCTCTCCCTTCCTCTCTGTAAAAAATCAATAAAATATATATTTTAAAAAAAAAAGACATATTGGTTGAATGAATGAGTGTGTATTTTTAGTGGCTTAAGAAAAGATCTGACTAATTCTTAATATTTGTGATCTTAAAAAATATTTTATATAGCCAAGTGGAAACAAACATATGCATTTATAAAACTAAAGAGTAAAAGTTTAATTTCAGAGTTTCACCCCATTATTTAAGAGGTTATTCACATGAGATGTTTTCTGTTCGGCGTTTTCTGTTTCCTTTCTAGAATAATGGCCAGACTCCTTAAGAAAAAGCACACAAAATGACTAAAAGTAATTGTCCTTGACAAAAGTAGGGTGGGTAAAGAGAAGGGGGATTGATATACCATGACCTGATATACTAGTGTACTTTCTTTTAGTAACTTACCAGGTATTGCCTTATTTAAAATTATGTCTGTTGAGTTCAACATCACTAATCATTGGGAAAATGCAAATTAAAACCACAATGAGATATCACCTCACACCTGTCAGAATAGCTATCATTAATAAATCAACAAACAACAAGTGTTGGTAAGGATGTGGAGAAAAGGGAATTCCTGCACTGTTGGTGAGATTGTAAATTGGTGCATCCACTATGGAAAAGAATACGGAAGTTCCTCAAAAAAATTAAAAATAGAACTACCATATGACCCTGCAATTCCACTTCTGGTCCTTTATCCAAAGAAATCCAAAACACTAATTTGAAAAGACATATACACTTCCTATGTTTTTTTGCAATGAAATATTATTCAGCCACAAAAAAAGAATGAAATCTTGCCATGTACAACAACATGGATGGACCTAGAGGGAATTATGCTAAGTAAAATAAGTCAGACAGAGAAAGACAAATACCAAACAATTTCACTTATATGTGGAATCTACAAAACAAAATAAACAAACAGAAACAGACTCATAGATACAGAGAACAAACAGATGGGAGGGAGTTTGGGGGATGGGTGAAAAAGGGCAAGGGATTAAGATGTGCAAATTGCCAGTTATAAAAATAGTCATGGGGATATAAAGTAGAGCATGGAGAATATAGTCAGTAATAAGTATGTATGGTGTCAGATGAGTACTAGACTTACTGGGGTGATCACTTTGTAAGTTATATAAATATCTGATCGCTATGTTGTACACCTGAAACTAAAATAATATTGTATGTCAACTATAATTAAAAATTCAAAAAAATTTTTAAATTATGTTTGTCCATGTCTCACTTTCCACTGTATAAGCTTCTTATGTATATGGCCCATCTTACACATCTTTTTATTCTCCTATAATTTCTATCTGAATGTGTTGCAAATAGTAGATTATCAGAAAACACATTTATGTAATGAAAAATACCTATAGGTATCAAATTATACACACACACACACACACACTCTCTGAATATATATCTTATATATGGTAGTAAAGTAAGTTTCTAAATTATCATTGCCTTGCTAGAACACACTTGCTTGTTGACAAAAGTGATAAATCTTCATAAAATTTAAGAAAGGGGAACAGAGAATTTTGAAATATGTCCCAAGACAAACTGTGCTAAAAAGACTTTGCTTTAATTAGCGACAGCTTATTGCAGGACATGAAAAGCAGGACCTTTCCATCTGAAAAGCCCACAACTGTAAAAAAAATTTTTTAAAAATGATGCAACTACTTCAGTCTAGATGTGCCAACTGAAATGATCTTCGTACGCGATCCAAAAAATTACCTATACTCTGATAGGTTTATGGAAAAATATCCTGTGTGTACTCCCTTAGGTTACTTTCAGAAAAGACAGACAGGCCTCCTAGGCAGATGTACCAGGAAGCTGACAAAGAGCAAGCTTCCAACCCTCCCTTGCCAGGAGGAAGACCCAGCAACAGCTCAAGGATTCTTCTCCTTAAGAGTCCACACCCCAACCCGCCTGACATCCACAACTGCATACGCTTCAGGTACATAAAACCTGGACCCATGCCTGCCAGTCCTCCATTAGATTATGAATATTAAGAAAACTAGGCTATCGTTTGCAAAAAGGAACCAAAATTCATTTACTAATTTCCAGCATCTCTCTCAATAGTCCAAGCAGAGCGAGGCACGTGGGGGTCTAAAGGGGCTTCTCTTTGCAGCATCCAGTTGCGATTTTGTTTTTCCCACCCAGGATGCAAAGTTAACTCTTGGAAACCATAAATAGGTAAAAGATAAATAGATTTTCATTAAATGTGTACATATGTAATCCTAGGTAGTTATTACTCATAAAAATCAAGTAATGCACGGTAGGGAAACCAGACCGCTAGCGTTTAGAACTTAATTTCAATACTAACTAAAGTGTCCTTCGTGGTGCTAAGTGAAACAGGTGACAATAAATCCCACCCGTCTTCATTCCTAAGTCGTCCCAGTGGTGTTGTATCACAAAACTAAGCGGTGCAACCAGAAGTTAATTGTGTGATTTAATCAAGGAATTACAATAAATCGTATCCGGTATTCCCTAGATTAGGAACCATTTTTGACACGAAGATCAAACCAAACCAAAAACCCTGCTGTCATCTCGGCTTTTGGCTACTGACGTTTTCAAAATCGAGTACGTAGTGATTTCTTAAAAGCCACAGAGAGAATTTGGGGTGAAGGGGAGGGTACCCATACAATCATAGCCCTTCCCATACCCACCCCTCCGTGTAGTACGCACTAAACTTTTCGTTGGTAGATAAAGTGGTACCAATACCTGGTAAATTTTTTAAAGTATGGCAGCATGTGTTATTAGCTGTGCTTACTCTACCAATGGCTTTGCTTTGAAATGCCCCCCCCCCTCCACCAAAGGCGTCCTGACTGGGGGAGCGAGTGGGGGACAGACAAGTTGCAGGCGACCCATTCCCTCTGCCCCCTCCGAGTCCCTCCATTTGGGAATGGTCCCCGGCCACTTCTCCAAGGAGAAGCGCCGGCGGCCCGCGGCCTGCCCTTCCCTGGAGGAGACAGCCTTCGTCAGGTTTCCTTGGGGGAACCGGGCCATCGGGGTAAAGCCACGATGGGAAGCAAAAATGTGGCCACTGCGCACTTGCACTAAGATGCAGCCGGTGCCCAGCCCTGGACGGGCCCCAGCGGAGGGGGAAGGGAGCGTCGCCACCGAATCCCAAGAAAGGCCGCGGGACCCACCTCCGGCTCCCTCCCGCTCCCGCCCTCGGCCCCACCCCCCCTTCCAGCACAAAGTCGCCCTGAAGGCAGGGGCCCGGCCTGCTAGGAGGCTGCCTGGACGCGGATGGACACGGCGACACGCGTCTCAGGGGGAACAGGCCGACGATCGCCAGCGAGTCTAGAGTTCTCGGCACGAACGTAGAACTACGGCTCCACGGCAACGCTCTCGAGAGCAGCGGGAACCGATCCAGGCGCCCAGGACACCAGCTATTCGTCTGCGAC